CTCCCAGAATTCCCCAGCCAGCCTTCTGGGAGTTGCAGTCCACACATCTTCCAGCTGCCAAGGTTGAGAAACACTGCCTTAATGGTCGCTGCTGTGAGACACAGCTGGGGGAGAAATGTTACTTTGGTGCTTGTCTCAAGAGTTTCCGTGCTACTCTGTGGGAAACAGATTGTTCACCCCAAGGCCAGGCCTGGGGACCCCTCCAGGCCTGCAGATCCTTCCCTTGGCACCCACCAGGCTCTCTGTTCTAGCTGGCTTCATCTGGTGAAGGTTCTTTGAATTAAAAATGGCCGTACATGGGATAGCGGTGTGCTGAGAGAGGAAAGTGCTAACCCTTTAACGACTTCCAAAAATGAATCCAAGCCCCACAGGGGCTTAGGAATACAGTATCCATGGAATCATATGTTGGAAGGAATTGCGGAGGTCATCTAGTCTGACCACTGCCCAGGGCTGGAATCCATTACTGTAGGATCCCCGACAGATCTCTTGAAGTATTTCTGTCGTCATGTTCCATCATCAAATAATTCTTACCATTCGGCAGTTCTTCCTAATGTCCAACCCAAATCTGCGTCCCTGCCATTTCAATCCGTTGGTTCTTGTCCTCTCTTCTTAGAAAATAACGATGGGGGGGCTGCCCTGCTTTGTTCAGAAACATGCCCCCCTCCCCCCAAATAGACAAAGGTGAGCTGGAGGGGGGTGTAGGAAGTATCTGAAGGATGAGGATAGGAAGAATCTTCAATGCTTTGTCTTCTCGTGGCTGTTCACATCTACCAGGGTAGCCATTTTGTGAGTGTGCCCATGACACACTCTCCAAAAGCCAAAGGCATCCATTGGCTCAGAAAGATTGCCCTCTTCTATACCCTGCTGTCAAATTGTTGTGGATTAAAATTCCTCTTTTGTTTCAGGTGGCAGGAATGAAGCAAGAGGTGGGAGTGAATTTCCCAGAGGGAAAAGAAACTTCTCTGGATGTTACCCTCAGGCAGCTGTATAGGGAGGTCAAGCAAGAGGAGGATGGGAATGCCAGCATGGCAGGTAAGGGTTCAGTTGTTGGTGAACTACAACTCCCAGCAGTCTTCACTGTCAGCCATGTAAACTCCTGAATGGTCTGTTCTTTGAGCGCTCAGTTTGTGTGCTAGAAGTTTCCGGTTCCAGACCAACATCTCAAATTTATGAAGGATCACATGGCAAGTGGTGAGAACCCGGAGAGGAGGAGAGAATCAGAGTAAGGAATCTTGGGCTAGAATTGCAGTACAGGTGGTCCTTGGGTTATGACCACTCGTTCAGTGACTGTCCAAACTTGCAATGGCACTGGGGACTTACGACTGGTCCTCAGAGTTCTGGCCATTGCAGCGTCCCCACAGTCATGTGATTGTGATCCAGGTGCTCAGCACCAGGCTTGCAACTGCGATGTTGCAGCAAGCTGCAGTTGCGTAATCGCGATTTCCGATGTTCCCTGCTAGGTTCCCACAAGCAAAGTCAATGGGGAAGCCAGCAGGAAGTCGGAGGTCATGGTCACATGAGGTCCTCACTTAACCACCTGCACAGTCCTTGCTTAATGATGGCAACCAGGACTGCTGGAACTGCCTTTGCTAAGCAGTGCAGTCATGTGATGTCATGCTTTACGACCGCATTGCTTAGCAGTGGCAATTCTGGTCCCAATTGCCATCATAACCCGAAGACTACCTGTAGGGGATCTTCCAACTTCAGAATGTTGCTGAACCTCTCCTCCCAGCTGTCCTAGCCAACATGGCTGACAGTGCAGACTTCTGGGTGTTGTAGTTCAGCAACATGTGAAAGGCCTCTAATTCCCTGTTGTTGGAATGGGCAGAAGGAATAACCTTGAGGAACAGAAGGAAGAGCCGCAACCGAGACAATGGTCAGATAAAAGAAACCTGAGTCCAGGCCAGAACTAGATGGATACATTTCTTTGGGCCTAAGACATGTTCCATTATATGTGTACTTTAATGCAAGTGGGGCTTGTAATAAAATGTTGCAGCATGAGGTGCTGCTAATTTGAGGAATTCTGCTCCACCTTTCCATTTCTCACCATACCTTTCTCTGTAGTAGATAGTTGGCAGTACCTTCACTGGCCTCCTTCTGGGATTCCCCCCTTTTTCTTCCCCCAGCAGAAAATGGATTCTTCTGCAAACTTTGCAATCCCCCCACCCTGCTGAAGACCCTTCCTAATTCCTTGGGATGTTTGAGCAGCCCAAGGAATCGCCCACACAGCCCGAACCCCAAAGAGAGAAGGACTAATGAGCGGGGGGATTATTGCATTCGGCAGATGACGGACGGCAGAGAGACAACCGGGAGATGGTGGCCGGGAGAGAAAACCTCCAGAGCTTAAAAGAGCCTGTTTTGAACCCAAGTGAGCCGACAGAAGACCCACCAGAGGAGCAGGAGACCGAACCTGTGGCTTTGCAGAGGAGAGACCCCTATGAAACCATCCTCAGGCAACCGATTCCCAAAGGGAAGCGACCGAGTGACAAATTGTTTCACAGCCTCAACAAGCATCGCCACGCCCACACCGGCAAGGAGCTGTTCGAATGCTCCGACTGCGGGAAGGTATTTATCTCCCGGGCGGGCTTCATCATGCACATCAGAGTTCACGGCCGGGAGAAGCCCTACGAGTGCTCCGATTGCGGGAAGCACTTCCGTCGCAGCTCACACCTGAACAGCCACAGCAAGATCCACGCGGGGGTGAAGCCCTTCAAGTGCCTGGACTGCGGGAAGGGCTTCAGCCGCAGCTCCAACCTGATTTCCCATCAGCGCATGCACACGGGGGAGAAGCCCTACAGCTGCGCCTCCTGCAGCAAGCAGTTCTGTGACAAATCCAGCCTGGTCCGCCACGAACGCCTCCACACTGGCGACAAGCCCTACAAGTGCGCGGAGTGCGGGAAGAGCTTCAGCCAGAGCCACCACCTCATCACCCACCAGAGGAGCCACACGGGTGAAAAGCCGTACAAGTGCCTGCTCTGCAGCAAAAGCTTCTGCGATCGGTCCACGTACATCCGGCACCAGAAGAACCACACGGGGGAGAAAACGTTCAAGTGCTTGGAGTGCGGTGAAAGCTTCAGCCGGAACAAGCACCTCGTCCGGCATCGGAGCATCCACACGGCCAGGGAGCTGTACACCTGCTCGGACTGCGGCGAGAGCTTTTCCCGGCGATCCGGCTTGAAGATGCATCAGAAAATCCACACGGGGGAGAAGCCATACGAGTGCGCTGACTGTGGGAAGAAATTCAACCGCAGCACCAACCTGATCAGTCATCAGAGGATCCACACTGGAGAAAGACCGTACGGCTGCCCTGACTGCGGGAAGAGATTCAATCGGAGGACACACCTTGTCAGCCACCAGAGAATCCACAGGCAGAAGAAGGAAATGGCCGAAGGGCTGGGAGCAGTGGATGAACTTCCCCCTGCGGAGTTCAGAGCAGCAGCTTACGTGCCCCCGCCGTTCATCACAACCCTGTGAGGTAGGTCAGCTGGGTTGAGGGTAGGCCAAGCCAAGATCTACGTGGCTCCACAGGATCTTCCCACTGTTGAATGACAAAAGCAACATTGCAGTGTTGCATTGCAGGCTCCGCCCCTTTGGGGCATGTGACTGTCTTGATAGACAGAAGAGGGGCGGGGCTTCCACCACAAGGCTGCTTTCATCAGCCTGGCCTAAGGCGCCCCCTGCAGGTTCTACTGGCACTTGGGCAAAGATGAGAACTTAACTGATGCAACCACAGTACAGGTGTAGGCGTTGGCGACCTTTTCAGTGCCATAAAATAAAAATACATCTGAAACAGTGCCGAGAATGCCATCATCTTGTCTGAAATTTTGCAAAATCTCATATAAGAACGCAAAGCTCTCCCAAGCGTTGGTGCTCAGGTGAACCATGGGTAATGTTTCAGGTTTTATTTAATTTGGGGGTTCTAGGATAACTCTGGTGGTGCTGCCCTCAGGTTGTATGTTGCCAAGCTGTGCTGTAGTCCGGTCTTGACTCCATGGATTATGAGCTACAAATGCCATTACAGGTAGTCCTCGCTTACCAACAGGTTACAAAACAACCGTCACTAAGCAACGCGATTGTAAAGCACAATGTCACATTGCCAACTTAACAACAGTAATCCTAGTTGCTGTCATTTGGCAAATCCCACAATGTCAGTGTCACACGATCACCATTTGCAACCTCCTTCTGGCTTCCCCATTGACTTTGCTTGTCAGAAGCTGACAGCGAAGGTCACAAATGGTGATCACATACTGCGGGACACTGCGACGTTGTAATTGTGAGCTGGTTGCCAAGTCCTGAATCATGACCACATGACTGTGGGGATGCTGTGACAGCCGCAACTGGTCTGGTCTGGTCATACGTTCCCCTCGTTCGGCACCATTGTAACTTCGAACAGTTGTTGAACGAGTGGACATTAAGTGAGGACTGCCTGTATCCCCAACTTCGGTCACATTGACGAAACTGGAACCCACAGCATCAGAAGGAATACTGTCCTGCATCCCTCTTCTGTTTATCACAGCGGCTACGTTCGCACAAAACACTGAAACGGAATAACTCATCTAGAGGGTACGCCCAATACATTTGAACCATAAACAAATCAAACAGGCTAGATTCACCCAACACTCTAGGGCACAGGTTTTCACAATTTTCAGGCCACAAAACCTGTTTGTTATAAACAAAATCCCAGAACCTTGGATCAGAAGACTTTGATCAAAAAGCTCTAGCGATAGAAAATTGGCTGCGTTTTCTGTCGGGGAGGGCGTGCAAGGGTGCAAGAGCATGCATGAGAGGTGCAGGTTGAGAAAGGCGTGAGAGGGTGCACGAGAGGCGCAGGTCAGGGAGGGTACATGGGGCCGCAAGGGGGTGCACGAGAGACACAGCTTGGGTCAGGGTGCAAGGCGGTGCGTGAGACTGTGGGTTGGGGAGGGTGTGAGATGCATGAGTCAGGGTACGTGAGGATGCAAGAGGTGCGGGGGAGGGTGTGAGAGGGTGTTCGAGAGGCAGAGCATGGGTCCGGAAGGGCACAATGGGGTGCACGAGAGGTGCAGATCGAGGAGGGTGTGAGTGTGCAAGAGGTGCAAGTTGGGGAAGGTGCATGACGTTGCAAGAGGCACAGGTCAGGGAGAGTGCAGGAATGGCCTGCATGGCATGAGTCCAGGGGGGCTGGGGCAGGATGCATGGGTGGGGGAGACTTATCCCAGTGACTTGCAACTTTCCCTGCCCGCTTCCCTAATGAATTTTCCCTGAAGCTGGCAGGGAAGGTTGCAAATGGCAATCACATGACCACAGGATGTTGCAAACGTCGTAAGTGCAAACCAGTTGTCAAGCGCCTAGATCACATCAAATGACGAGGAGAGTACTGGAATGGCCAGAACTCCAAGGATGGATCATAACCAGCATTCGCTCAGCGCCATTGTAACTTCAAACGGTCACTGAATGAATGGTCATAGGTCGAGGACTGCCTGTAAATCTGAAAGCCCACTTTCTCCTGTAATCAGCTTGTTTGTAATTATGATTCTTCATCAAAGATCCTATTATAATTACTACAGCTAAGGGAAGTTAGATGGATATGTACCGTACATGAAACAGTACATTGTAGCAGGACCCTGGAGTTCCCCAATCCAGAAAAAACAGATGGCCTCTGATGGATTTCAGTACAGTTTAGACTTGTTTAAAAATGTTTTCATTTTCGTCCTTTGTGCTTCTTTGTTTGATGCTTTTAAAATCTGTAGCTTGCTGAGGCAGAAAAGTGGCCTATACAAGGTTTTAGTATATAATATATTATCTGTTGAAAATACACTCGTTCAGGGGTTTTCAATTGTAGGCAGTTCCCCAATTTAGGAAATCTCAGAATTCGTTAGGTTCTCCCCTTGTCAGGCTAGTTTTCTGTGTTTGAGGATTTAGACTTTTTTTCCGCGCCGAAGAGCACATTGTCACATGAGCAACCGCATATCTAAACTGACATTGCACACTCGAGAAGGGGTCTTCTGTCTGAAGCGCAGCGTTTGTACCAATTATCTTTTTTTTCCTTTTTGTTTTTCAGACCCATCCTTTCATTTGGAAGGGAGACCTTTCCCCGTTTACCTCTTCAGGATGAACAGAGCGTCGGGGTTACCGCAGAATGTCAGAAAGGGGATACGGAGGAAGCGTACAACTCTAGAGGGAGGCTCGGGTGGAGGGGACTGTGTCTCCCTCCCCACCTGACTCTCATCCCCAATTCCACACTTCCAGCCCTTTTGGCTAACAATTGTACTCAGTTGTCTGAACCGTTTTCTGTTTCTGTATGGAACGTTTGCTTTTTTTGTACGGAGGAAATTGTACAACATCCGCAACCGAAGTCCTGCGATCCATCAGTCGACTCAGGTTTTTGCTGAAGTTAACACCTCACATGTCACTAACTCTCCCCTTCTCCCATCTAGTCCCCCCTTCACCCATGGGTTGGGGACCACATTTGTTGAGATCCACGGAGCACCAGCGTAAGCATGTACACCTATCCATGGGCAGACCGGGCAGAGCCAGGAGATGTCTCCTGATTCTCCTCTTTCTTAGGGCCAGGGCAAAATTCTGCCCCACACGTCTGAATGGTTTTGGATACGGAACATCCTTCCTACAAGGAGCTCCCTTTCCTAGGCTTGAGTTAAGCTTGATAGCGGGGGCATCTCTAGTTGGAAAAACAGACTTCTTGGACAACCAGAAAGCTCCAGATGAACAGACCACAGCATTTTGGATGGAGGGAGCCTCTATGGCAGTGTTTCTCAACCTTGGCAACTTGAAGACGTGTGGACTTCAACTCCCAG